ATGATTTAGAGAATATTTTGATCCGAAGAGTCAATAATATTACAAATCCAAGTATGGTTTTTCGCAGAAGTTTTTCTTTTAATTTGCAAATAGATCTTATATGCAACAAAGCTATGCAAATGCATGTATCAAAAAGTTAGAGAGAGTTCAAAGATTTATGAAATACTGTTCTTTAAACTGTGTAGACCATATTCTTATTCTGGTGTTATTAATTTCTTGAATCTAGTTTTTTTCTCACCAAAAGAGTTAACTTTGACTTTGACCATTATTTTTAAGCTTAAAAATCCAATCTCCTGAATTGCTTCAGCCAATTTGTTTTACATATTCCTTCCGTTGACTACTTTAGAATTTACTTTTTCGTGTTTCCCATCACAGAATAAATTATGGTTCAAATATAGGTGTGGTCCTACTTTTCATGCATGGTAATCAGTTATCTCATTAGATAGATTTGTTTAACTTATGTATCAATATCTTTAGGTTCTATTGGAAGCACTAAAATGCAAAAAGATATTTTGTATAAATAAATGTGTACTTACAATTTCTTTAATGCTCGATTCTTGTTTAATTTTGACAGTGAGTTTGTCCAATTTGTTATCAATAAATAAAATTTACAAAAAAATACTGGATTTCTGTGAGATAATCAACAAATTCAATCTTTTATGTTACATTCTAGCATAATTTTGCAGTTTTCTTGTGATTATCTACAACCAGAAAGAACAAAACCAACTGTATCAATACAATCAAACTAAAACACAACATTACTTTACTAATGTTCTTTTATTGTGATGAAAACAAAATGAAAATGCTTCTTAAGGCTGTTTTATCGGTACACCAAAACCTAGATACAGTGTTTTCTCTGTTATTTACCGACAAAATATCTCGAAATTTGGACACGTTATTCAAAATTATGTTGCCTTTAAACTGATGGTTTTACTTTTTTAATTTTTTTGAAAGTTCTTTTGAAATATCGGATTATACAGTTTAACGTTCTATTATAACCAAACTTTTTACG